GGGTCTCATACTGAGTGACTGACATGGAGCCCTACTGAAGGCGCTCAAACTGCCTGCGAAGAGCATCTCGCTGAGTAACTGGGAGAAACTTTTCCAAAAACAACTCCGCAAACTGGTCCCAAGTCAGAGATGGCGACCCTGCTGGTCTGGCTAAACAGTAGTCCCTCCACCAAGTCTTGGCGGATCCTGCTAGACGAAAGGTGGCGAAGTCGACCCCATTGGTCTCCACAATACCCATAGTCCGAAGAACCTCATGGCAGCTATACAAGAAATCCTGGGGGTCCTCTGAAGAAGCACCGCTGAATGTGGTGGTGAAGAGCTTGGTGAACCTATCCAGTCTCCACAAAGCATCTGCGGACATAGCCGCTCCATCGCCGGTCTGAGTCACAATACCCGGCTGAACTGCCACAGCTGGCTGAACAACTGGAACCTGAGCCTGGGGAGCTACCTGCTCCGGAGTACGTGTAGTAGGAGTCTGAACCCCTCCTCCAACCTGAGAAGTGGCTGGTGCTACTGGAAGCAAACCCGCTCGAGAGACGCTCTCCATAAAGCCTACCAACATGACCAAAGCGTCCTGAAGAACTGGGGTGGCTATAAACCCCTCTAGGACCCGAGCTGGGCCCACTAGAGCTGCTGGGGCTGGAACCTCCTCATCATAATCAACATGAGGCTCTACCTCTGGGACTGCTGCTCGGGGCTGAGCTCTGCCCCAGCCTCGGCCTCTGGCACGGCCTCGGCCTCGCCCTCTGCCCCTCGTAGGAGCTGCTGCTGGGGGCTCGGGCTGCTGCGCGGTAGAAGAGGAAGCACGTGTTCTCGCCATCTGCGAAAGAACAGAGTAGAAAGACAATTAGTATTTGAGAAACAGAATCGCACGACAAGAAAGAACAAAAGTTAAGTTTTCCTAACTCTGAAGCCTCTGGGGATAAATACAGACGTCTCCGTACCGATCCCTCAGACTCTACCGAGTTTGTCCGTGAGTTATGAGACCTATGTAACCTAGTGCTCTGATACCAACTTGTCACGACCCGAATTTTCCACCCTCGGGAGTCGTGATGGCGCCTACTAATAGGAGCTAGGCAAGCCAATTATCAATTACCTCTTTTAGCGGACATCGTCAATATTAAAAACAATGAAGAATATAATAATAAAGCGGAAGTCTCATATATATTTAACTGAAAGAAATGCGGAAGTTTAACAAAATCCTCTACCCAAGACTGGTGTCACCATACTCACGAACGTCTAGAGAATACTAAAAACAAGGTTCGAATGAAACATAAAACTGTCTGCTTCGGTACAAATGATAACAAACTAACAAAATAGAAGGGACTCCGGGCCTACGGACGTCAGCAAGGCTACCTCGAATGTCCCTGGACTGAAGTCAGCTCCCGAATCCTCTACTGCTGTCCAAAAGTTGCTGCTCCAGCGCTGTGATCTGTGCAAAAAGATACACAGAGTGTAGCATCAGCACAACCGACCCCATGTGCTGGTAAGTGCCTAGCCTAACCTCGGCGAAGTAGTAACGATGCTAGACCAGACAATCAGATAAACCTGTGCAGTTACGAAATATATTGCAAAAAAATAAATAGGAAATAAGCAGTTTATAAGGGAGGGGGAGCATGTTGTGGGGAGGCAACAGTTATAAACAAGGACTCTAAATTCCAAGGTTATAACAGCCAACAGAAACTTAAATCCGGAATAAACACACTTAAGCTATAACTTGTTGCGGCGCGCAACCCGATCCTCAATACTTCACTGTTGCGGCGTGCAACTCGATCCATTTATCATCACTGTTGCGGCGTGCAACCCGATCCATATCATTTAGTATTGCTGCGGCGTGCAACCAGATCCACATATATATCATTTATCATTATTGCGGCGTGCAACCCGATCCATATATTTATATTATTAATCCTCACCCAGGCAACAGTCGAAAATAAGGGGCAAGGGAGTAAACAATTAGTGAAAGAAATCCCGGCAAGGGAACACAATAACACACTAAATCCCGGCAAGGGAGAAAAGTCAATAACTCAATATCCCAGCAAGGGAGAAAATCATCATATCAATAAAACGTCCCAGCAAGGGAATAACCAATATCTCTTTCTTTTGCTTTCATTTCTTACTGTATAACTCACTTTATCATTTGAGCCATAGCTCCAAATAATCATTTCATATCATATACCTTCACAATTCGCAATACAACTCGAGCCAATGCTCCACGGAGTCTAATAATCTTAATCTCTGTCTCATGCACTTTACAGTATATAGAATCATCAAATAAGCATGGGAGAATCACAACAAGTTCAGGAAAATCTCAATATAAGGACACACGGTCATGCTAGACACCAGTGTATACATACTCGTCACCATGCCTATACACCGTACTCGACAAATAGCAATTACCAAGTAAGACTCTACTCCTATTCCCTCAAGCCAAAGTTAGACCAAACACTTACCTCAACTTCCACGGCTAAATCAATCCACAACGACCGCTTTCCCTCTCGAATTCGGCTCCAACTCAATCAAATTTATGAAATAACGACTTTACAACATTAATATAAGCTAAACAGATCAAACCCAATGCCTAAATATTGTTTTCTAAGCCTTCTTCCCAAAATTCCAAAAATCGACCCCGGGCCCCCTTGGTCAAAACCCGAGGTTCGAACCAATTTCACATTACCCATTCCCCCACGAGCCCGGGTATACAATTTGTTTTCAAATTCGACCCCAAAACGAGGTCTAAATCAAGAAAAATCAAAAAGCCCTAACTCTACCCAGTTCCCCCAATTTCAACCCTAGATTACATGATTTAGGCTTAGAAATTTACTAATTAATGAAGGAAAATGAAGGAAATGAGTGGGAATTTACTTATCCAAGAGGTCTTGATGAAAGGAACCTTCAATGGATTCCTAGAGCTTAGGGGAGAAGAGAGTTCGTGAGAAATTTGGAATAAAACCCGAGCTACTGTTCTGAAACTTTTTAAAAAAATCACTGGGCGTTTTTGTTCTATGCGTTCGCGACAGGAGTGTCGCGTTCGCGAATAAGGGGGAGCTGGTAAGCTACGCGTTCGCGAGGGAAGGATTGCGAACGCGAAGAGGAAGCACTGGGGGGTCCAAAGAATTGGCCTATGCGAACGCGTCGACCATCACGCGAACGCGGAGAAGGAAAAAGCAAAGCATCGCGATCGCGATGGACTGAACGCGGACGCGAAGAAGGGTGGCCTCAAAGCTATACGAACGCGAAGGGGTACTGCGAACGCGAAGAAGGATTCTTCTGTGTAAAAATTGCAGAAAATCTGATGCCTTCCTAAGTTCAAAACCATCCCGAACACCTCCGAAAACACTCCCTAGCCCTCGGGGCTCCTAACCAATCATACACACTAACTCGACGACATCCCACGAACGTAACCGTGCGATCAAATCGCCAAAATAACATCATAAACGAGGAATCAAACCTCAAAATCATCACTTTTCCTTCAAACTTCATAAACTTTTATTTTTTGATATTTAGGTCCGAAACACGTCAAATGACGTCCGATTTCAACCAAATTTCACAGAAAGCGCTTAAACCACATATAAGACCTGTACCGGGCGCCGAAACCAAAATACGGGCCCGATACCAACACGTTCTAATCAATTTCCTTTTCAAATTTCCATATTAATTTCAGAAAAATTCATTTCTCGCTCGACCTCGGAATTTGACTCCGGGCATATGCCCGAGTCTCATATTTTTCCACGGACCCTCCGGGACCGTCAAATCACGGCTCCGGGTCCGTTTACCCAAGATGTTGACCAAAGTTAACTTTATTCATATTAATATCAAAATTCATCAATTGTTACACACAATTTATATTTAATCTTTCCGACTACGCGCCCGGACTGCGCACGCAAATCGAGGCAAGCCTAAATGAGGTTTTCAAGGCCTCGGAGACACAGAATGAGTGAGAAAACAGGTGATGACCCTTTGGGTCGTCACAATAACATCCCGGCAAGGGAATCAACAATAGAAACAATAATATCCCGGCAAGGGAATTAACAATAGAAATAATAACATCCCGGCAAGGGAATCAACAATAACCAATCTTGTTTCAACAGTTAGCTTCGCAATATAGATCTCAAAATCGAGTCAATACTCAACAATGGACAATTTCCAAGAGAATGTCATAAGTCTTATTCGACATGAATAAATCATCAATTTAAACAAGAATAATACATAATAAGGATCACGAAAACACCAAGAAGCACGATAACCTCAAAAAAATAACCAGACTAGGGGTATGCATTCGAATCGGTTTATCGATAAATCGAATCGATTATTTGTTATCGGTTTATCGATATCGGTTTATCGGTTTATCGATTTCGATTTCGATTTCGAAATTTTCCTTATCGATTTATCGATTTCGATTTCGATTTTGTCCTCTTCGGTTATCGGTTTATCGATAAACCGATAAGGTATACTAAAAATATAAATATACCCTTATTTTATAATACCCTTTCCTTTACCTAACTCCCTAACCCTATTATTTTCTCTACCCTTATTCTTCACTCTTCCGCACCGCTTTTGGTCCTTCTTTCACAGGTACATGAAAATCTCACTTACCTGCTCTCTTTTCAGTGATTTGATTATCTTTTTGTTTGGTTTCTCTCATGCTATTTTGTGCTATATAATTTCTACCTCCACTTTTATTTTTCAAAAAACGTGTCCTGTTGGATCTTGAACTAGCTTCAGATTCCAACTAATAATGGACATCCAAAAAAGATAATTCAAGTTAGATGCCTCCAATTTTCATCTACTGTGGTTCAAAAAGTTATAGTAGCTCTGCAATTCAAGCTCTGTTTTCATCAGCTGGTTTATAATAGTACTCAGCTAAAATTGGTAAGGATTAAACAGCTCACAATAGTATTATATTATAAGAAATGAAAAAGGATAATTATGAAAAGGCCTAATCATGTTCCAAGAAGGCAAGAACTACAGATGTATAGTAATGATTAGTGTGTCAAAAAGATGTCTGCCCCACTTTATGTTCTTTCTTGGCGTGCTATTGCTCTTTCTATCCCAAGTATGTCAAAAAGAACTTTTTTGCTTTTAGTTCTCAACATGTTCATAGGCTTGACTTCTTTCACTTTATATAAATATAAATGTAGAAAGAGTCACCACTGGGTTTGGCCACAGAATCCGCTCACCCAGGTAATCCACAGTCCCTCTCTTATTGTATCTATGCTGGCACTTCCGTACAAACTACAAGTGTTTGTGAGTTGTGACTTTTCTTTTTAACGGGTATTACATTTTAACATACAGACAATTGACCAGTTCTTTTTTGCTGTTATTGATATTTCCTGGATTTGCAGCCATAATTTTTAGGTCAAGAGCGAGGAGTGCTGACTTCGTCTTGCTTTGCTTCATTCAACTCGTTTAAGACTGTAAGTTACATTCTTCATTTACTTCACATGGCTGAAAATGATAAAATTGATCAAGTGGTTGATGAAAGTAGAGGTTCTTAGTTAGGCGTGTTTATAGCGATATACTTTCCGTGGAATCCCACAAATTTTCTTATTGGTGTAATTGATAACCGAATCGATAAGCCCCAAAAATCGATAAATCGAAATCGAAAAAATCAAAACCTTATTGAAACGATAACGATAAGCATATGTACAAATCGATAATCGATAAGTAATTATCGATAAGGGTCAAAATCGAATTGATAAATCGAATGCACACCCCTAAACCAGACATAATAAGCACGTGATAACTACACCGGTAACCACAACAATTGGACATGTAGCACGTTTACACGAAGTCATAAAGGAAACTCACAGTCAAGAAGTATCAAAACAATAAGGAAGGCAATTAATTCAATTAAGGCAATTAAGGGTCGAGTAACACGTACGAATTAGAGGAAAGCGATAACATCATATGGAGCATATAGAGGCAATTTAAGCAATTAGGAAACCCAACCATAACGGGATACTTTCCACATAATGAACATAAGGACCTAAGAACTCTAGAGGAAAATTTCCCAAAAATAAGTCCGAGCACGCACTTGTCACCTCCCATGGGACTACAATTAGCATAGAAGACTCAAATCCTAAGGGGAAGTCCCCCACACAAGGTCAGGCAAGGTACTTACCTCAATCCGGCCAATTAAATACTCAATTTAGCTTTTCCTTTACCAATTCATCAACGCTCGGCTCAATCTAGCCAAAAACGACTTGAATACATCAAACAATGCAAGAGAAAACAATTTCAATTGAGAAAACTATGATTCTTATACAATTTGCAAAAAGTCAACTCCCCGGGACCGCACCTCGGAACCCGACAAAATTCAAGAAAATCGAACACCCATTCCGCTACGAGTTCACCCATACAAAAATTATCTAATTCCGATACCATTTGGTCATTCAAATCATCAATTTACATTTTTGAAAGATTTCACAATTTCCCCCAAATTTTTCTTTAGATTCTCATGAATTTGATGCTAAATCTAAGATATAATCACAAAATATAGTTGGAAATTTATTAGAGACACTTATTCAATGATTTGGAGAAGTTTGGGTCCTTGGAAAATCGCCCATGGAGGTTTATGGTTTGAGAAAATTGAAAAATGGGTGAAGATCTCGTCAAAAACCTCACTTAACAGGCCTCAGAACCCCTCGCAATTACGAACAACCCAGGGCTGGAAAAAGTCGCATTTGCGACAAAAATCTCGCATTTGCGAACAGGGCATCGCAAATGCGATAAAATGTTCGCATTTGCGACCACACCAGAACCAACAATTTTTTCTGACACGAAAATGAGCATAACTTCCTCATACGAGGTCCAAATTGGATGATTCTTTTTCCTATAGCTCCGTAATTTTGATACAGATATAATGGTTCAAACAAAACTGAATTTGGATCTCATTTGCTCAATGTGGTATTATTTTTGCTTGAAGAAACAACGATGAAACATCCAAAAACAAGCGCAACATAGCCTAAACCTATCCGAAACTCACCCAAGCCCTCGGGGCTCCAAACCAAACATGCACGCAAGTCTAAAAATATCATACGGACTTGCTCGTGCAATCAAATCATCAAAAACACATCAAAAACTATGAATTTAACCTCAAAACTCATGATTTTCTAACTTTTCAACCGGACGTCCAAATCACGTCAAATAAATTCCGGTTTTCACCAAATTTTACAGATAGGACTTAAATATCATAACAAAACTTGTACCGGGCTCCGGAACAAAAATACGGCCCTGATATCAACGAGTTCAAACATTAATTCATTTCTTTATTTCCTTTAAAAACTAGCACAACAATTTTCTTCAAAAGTTGTTTTCTAAGGCTAGGGGCCTCGGAATTCAATTCCAGGCATACGCCCAAGTCCCATATTTTACCATGGACCTCCCGGGATCGTCGGAACACAGATCCGGGTCCATTTACCAAAATGTTGACCAAGGTCAACTAAAAACCAAATTTTTAACTCTAAAAATTACTATTTTTTTTCATATTTTCACATAAAAGCTTTCCGGTTTCACGCCCGGACTGCACTCGCAAGTCGATTCACATAATATGAAGCTACTCGTGACCTCAAACTGCCGAACCAGACGAAATTGCTCAAAACGACCAGTCGGGTCGTTACATCCTCCTCCACTTAAACATACGTTCGTCCTCGAACATGCCCAGAGTCGTTCCAAAGCCATTGAACCACTGCATGAGCTCCTCATACATACACCCGGGGGTGTTTCCCCATCACCCAACCTATACGGAGCTGACAATGCCACTTAACTAAAGGTCTCATCTCCTCCTTAGTCCATAACCTTAGAACATAACCTAAACCTCATCATCTGAAATTAGTCATAGAACCCAAATTCTACATCATCACACTGATTACACCCGAACAAGACGAATTGAGCCAAAAATTCCAACCCAGAATACAATCACATGCTGATGCACGCAGCTGAAATACTCGAAGCAATAACCTCTGACCACCATAGCTGCTCAAATAACACTCTAGATACTGGCAATACACTTCACATCGAATATAACCTTGTTCCGGACTTCCAACACTGCCCATGATAGAGAAACATGCGGAAACTCATAGCCGTTCATGAAGTCAACAAGTCAAGAAACTCTCTCGCCCGCCAATGGCCATTAACCAACTCTTAGCAGGAACAACCACATACTCCCAAACAATCCTCACCCCCAATTCCATAGTTCAAACCTCAGGTCTAAAAACCTCATCTCAGCCAATACAAGCAGCCCAACTAACAACTCATCATGGAACCACACGAATTCTCGTACAACCCAGCTCGTACACCAAACCAGCAATGACTCAATTATGCAGCACAAATAAAGGAAAGCAAAGTATAAGAATTATCTAACAGGTACAACATATGTAACAACAAAAGTATATATTTTTCTTCATCAAATCGCCCCACAGAGGGAAAACACAACACTAGATAAACACAAGGAAAGTGTATCTCTCATAACATCCGCTACGGCGTGCAGCCCGCTCCCAAATACTCATCAAGTCAAAATGCTCGGGTTCACTGAACATATGAATACTGATATCAAGCACTGCAGAGTGCACAGGTAAAACTGCGGGGACAATGAATAAAAGTATAAAATAGGAGAGAAGCAAGCACATATAAGGTGTTATGAACAAATCAACCTCACGAGAGCTATCTCGCCCGCATTGACATAAGGCCTAAATAAAATCACAACATGCGAGGGGGATAATCATACAACCTCACCGCCTAGCACATCACAAAAGAGTAGCACATAACATAGGCTACGGGCACAAATAATATCCATTCTGCCTGATAACATAACCAAAATAGCAATCTCGTAGGAGCACACAAACTTGATCTAATACAAAACACATATTCCTTACGCCTATAGTAGACAGCCAACTCAAGCCTTTGTCGAACCATCGAGAACCCTTCGAGGTCCGCCCGCACGCAACGAAGCCATCAAGACTTCACCTCCCCAACTCAATCGAGTCACACAGACCGTCCAATCTAAGGGTGCTGCCACAAACGCCAGTAGAGAATTCCCATTCAAGAT